TTAAGCACAATTCCCCGATTAATTCTAGCACAATAAACTAAGTGAAGTGAGGAAAATATTGGTTCATCAGGCAACCTAAGCCCATTCTGTGACACTACATGAAAATTCGAATTTGAAGATAAATGAAATACGATCAAAAGCTTTGAGGAAATGGAATACAAATGTCACAATATCTAAAGCTCGTAGGGCAAAATTAATAACATCATGCAAAGTTGAAGGTTCATTTAAAAATCAGTTCACAAGAATATATGACTATGCACATGAATTATTGAGATGTAACTCTGGATCAACAGTCAAAGTTAAAGTGGATAGTGAAAATGGTCAGACCACATTTCAGAGGTTCTATGTTTGTTTGAAAGCTTGCAAGAATAACTTCGTCTCTTGTAGGCCCTTTATTGGTTTGGATGGATGTTTTCTGAAAGGAAAGTACAAGGGGGAGTTATTAACCGTTGTTGGTAGAGATCCTAATGAGCAGATGTTACCTCTGGCATATAGAATTGTGGAAGTAGAGAATAAAGAAACTTGGACATGGTTTTTGGAGTTGTTGATAGAAGACCTTAGGGGCACTGAAGTATGTAATTCATGCACTTTTATGTCTGACCAACAAAAGGTATATCTATTTATTATATCTCTCTGAATTGGTTTCTAATATTACTAATATAATTTTTGGTCCCCATTTCTGTTAAAAATGTTCAATTTGGTCCCTTTTCACAGGGTTTGTTGCCAGCTATGTCTGAACTTTTACCTGAGGCAGAGCACAGATTTTGCATGCGACACTTATATGCAAATTTCAGAAAAAAGATCAGAGAGCACACCTTGAAGAATCTGATGTGGAAGGCTGCTACTAGTACATACCCCCAAGCTTGGGAAAGAGAAATGTTAAATATAAAGGATGTCAATGTAGAGGCTTACAAATACCTAATCGTTATTCCCCCAAGGTATGAGTCCTACCTTAACTCTCTATCGTTCCTCCTGTTATATACTTTTAGTTTCCTAACAATTTCTTATTCTTTGTAACAGGTATTGGTCTAGATCTAGATTTACAGGTCGAACAATATGTGATACACTAGTAAATAACATGAGTGAAGCTTTTAATAGTGTTATTGTTGATGCTAGAGGAAAGCCCATTATAACCATACTAGAGGAAATTAGAGTTTACCTCATGAAAAAATGGACAACCAACAGAATCAAGATGTGTAATATGGACTTTCACATCTACCCTAAGATTAGAAAGAGACTTACAAAAGAATCAAATTTATTCAAAAATTAGATCCCTATGTAAGCATTTCCTTTCCCATAATTAATTCATGTCAGTTGGTTTGTGATAAAATTGTTGATATTCATTACTTCATAGTTAACTTTTAATCATGTATTACTTCATGGCAGTTGGTCTGGAGAAAAAATGTTTGAAGTTAGGCATTTTGCAGTGATGACAAACAAGTTTGCAGTCAACCTGGACAGTCAAGAGTGTACCTGCAGGAAATGGGTCATTAGTGGCATCCCTTGCTGCCATGCAATTGTAGCAATGAGATTCTTAAATTTAGATCTAGAAGAGTATGTTCCCATTTGGTTCAGAAGGTCCACGTATGATGAAACATATGCCTCCATCATATTTCCAGTGAATGAGCACCTTTTATGGGAAAGAACAGCCTTCCCAGGCGTCCTCCCACCATTTAAGAGAAAATTACTTGGCAGACCAAAGAAAAAGAGAAGGTGCGAGAGTTGGGAGCTAAGGAGGGATGAAACCCAAATGACCAAAGGTGGCCACCGCAAAAAATGCAACATTTGTCGTATTGTTGGGCATAACAGAAATTAATGCCCCTTACGTCCTCAAGATCAACTAGACCTACCACAGCCATCTGAAGCAGCACCCCAACCACCAACTCAAGAAATGACACAACCATGTGATGGACCACCCCAACCAACACAGGAATCTACAGAACAACCAACTCAGCCAATCAGAAGGGACAAGTTACCAATTAAGGGACCTTCTATTTTATAATGTTAAAAATTTGGCACTGGATCTGTTTTGAAATAATTTACTAATTAAGACCTGATGTGCTTTATAATGTTTTGATATACTTAGCAATGGATCTGTTATGATGTGCTATATAGTAACTTGATTTTTTGATGTACCCATGAACTAACTTCTGATTATGAAAAGATATTGTTTTAATGTTTTCATGTACCCATGTTTTGATATTGATTTTGACCACTTCCATTTTATGCACACATCACTCATCATCATCACTCATCATCATGTGGAACACATTCACACATAATTAACTAAAATGAGGACTAATTTGAACAATTCAACACTAATACACATTTCATTCATTCATTTATTACAAAAGACAATCGCCCAACCTTAACAATGGGGCCACCTAACAACCTCAACCTTCAAAACACTAAAGTAAACCAGATTAGAACCACCTAAAAACACACTTACAACACATCAACCTAAAAACACACAACATAACTATGATCAGTACACTAAGAACACACACCACTGCTTCTAATAATTGGATCCTTCTCTTCAAAGCTTTCATTGTGTTCTCCATATCACAAATCTTCCTCCTTTGCCTAGCAATGATAACATCCTTTCATCAACATTTTCTTCATTGCACCACTTGAAATAGTTACAACACATCACATTAGCAAGTCCACTCTGTTATTCATCAAACACAATGTTAATTACCAACACATAAAGAAAATACATTTTAATCAGAAATGCTTTTATTCACATAACCTTGTAGTTACAACATCCCCAAAAATATCTTCCAAAATTCTTTGAAGTTCTAGCCATTTTTACTACTGCCATCTCACCACAATTGCAAATGGGAATTGTCCCTACCCCATTGAACCACCACCATGTGAGGAATGACAACTTCAGTGGCTGAAGCTATTGCAACAAGAAGAAGAAGATTGGAAAGCAGACATGACTCATCAACCACCAAGATTGGGAAGAAGATTGGTTAACCTCGAAACTTCGAACCTCACTATGACTTTCACTGAAGTAAAGTAATGAAACCCTAATTTCAGAATCCACCCTCATCAAAAATTGGGTTTCATTAAATAAAGGACATTTCTTTTTAAATCCACCTCACTGTGTCTGAAGGGAATCCACGTCTGCACTTAAATTCCATCTCATTACTCTTTTACACACCTGGACTATTTGCCATTAACGATTTAAATGACGTTTGCAAAAATGACTAAATTGAACATAAATTACATTATTTAGGATAACATTGAATAAAAAAAAACTAGGACCAAATCGAATACACCTGACGAAAATAGGAACATCATATTTTAATATATATATATATATATATATATATATATATATATATATATATATATATATATATATGTACAGTGACGAGCGTTGTTAACAAAAGTAGGATTAAGTTAAATTATCAACCTTAGCCATTTTTTTTTCAGATTGTCAACATTTAACTAACTTATACTTCAAATGAATCTCAGATTTATGAACTTTACACTCTCACTTCCAGTTAACTTCATATCAATAAATCAACATCTTAATAATTCAACATTATAGTATTCATCCTATACGATTCCAACCATGCATGCAGCTCAACAATCCAGAAAAATCATATCAGTACATTCATAACAGCACAACAGGCTCGTTCATGCAGATCAGAAAACAGCATCAAGATTTCATACAGACAACCCAATCATGCTTTCATACATCATACACGTATAAATTTAAATATATGTAAGCTTCCTTACCTGGATAGCAGTGATCTTCAAAAGCCGATTCTAGGGTTTCCTCTAACCACTTCTACCTCAGTTTCGTTACACAGTTCCCACGTAAAACTAAGACACCAAAACAATCAACCAAAACTCAGACCTAGAACCCATTCATGCAACCAACTAGGGTTCGCATGAGACCAGAAAAGACGAAGCTTAAGACAGAAAACTTACCAGTTCCGATCAAGTTCTGTTCGGTCCAAATGAAAGGTCTCAATGGACGAACACTCTACGGTTCTGGAAAGTGAAGGAGAAGAAAGAAGATGAGTTTCGTGAAGAGAGAAGGTTACTGGTCTAGAGAGAGATCAGTAGAAAATGGAAAATCTGATTCAGAGGAAGGAGATGAGTGATACAGGTGAGTGGAGGGTTTTTCGAAAACTCTTTTTGCTTAACTCACGTTCGTTTGAACGAACGTCTCCCTCGCTGACACCTGCATACCAAACTCTGAATTGGAAGCTTCTAACGTGACAAGTGTCGTGTGCTGCATGCAGCAGCTTAGTGCGCAATTAATGCACTGGACGTGTGTCGCGGCTCATTGATGGAAGCTACTAGGTGAATCAGCAGTATCGTAATACTGATTGACATCTAATTACGTTTTTAAAATTTTCCGGGATCTCCACATTCCACCTATCTACAAAAATTTTCGACCTCGAAAATTAGGAGACTTACCAAGAACATGATAGGATACAAGTCTTATGGCGCTCTCGCAACTTCCACGTTGAATCACCCGTGCTTACGCGTCCCCACACATCTTCACCCAAGCGAACTTCCTTGCCCTTGGTAGTACTGGTGCGCTTCTTCTACACGAAGCTGGATTGCTAATTCTAACGTTCGATCTGGACGTAGCGAATGTCTTCTAACTCAGCTACGTGTGACGATTGGTATATATCTTCCGAAGTTGAGAGACGTGGAAACGGAGGTGAAGGTTGGATAGGGGGGGCAACGCAAGCTCATACGCCACTGGTCCGGTCTTCCTCCAATATCTGGTAGGGTCCAATGAACTTGGGGGAATAACTTCTTTGGACGAACGCTCGGTCCCCACACCAGTGACTGGATTGAGTCGAGGAAACATGCTCCGAACGGTGCGCGAACTCCACGGTCTTCTCCTTTATCAGCGTACGACTTCTGCGCATAAAGACGTCTTCAATCTCTCCTGAATTTGCTTGACTTTTCTCGCGTTTGCTGATGAGTCTCAGGTCCAGTTAGTACGTTCTCCTCTTGAACCAACAAAGTGGCGTTCGGCATTTCCTCCCATAGAGTGGCTTCAAACGGTGCCATTCCAATGCTCGCCTGGAAACTGTTGTTATACGTGAACTCCACTAGCGGCCAGAACCTCATCCCATGCGCCTAAGTGATCTAGGGCGTCACGTCCTCAGTAAATCTTTCTAGCGTCTGGATGGTTCGTTCAACTGGCCGGTCCGTCGGTGGTAGGCTGAACTCATTTGTAATCTACTACCAAGCTCGCTTTGAAGTGACTGGCCAAAAACCGTGAAGTACCTTGTATCACGATCTGAAATTATGCTCGAGGTACCCCATGCAGACGAACGATCTCCTGGATATACAACTTAGCTAAGTTGGTTAACGACATCTTTAAGTTGACAGCTAGGAAGTGGGCGCTCTTGGTTAGCCTATCCACGATCACCCAGATGAATCATGATTCCTGACCGTGCGTGGTAGATGAGTCACGAAATCCATGGATATGCTATCCACTTCCATTCGGGGAATCTCTAATTGTTGAAGCAATCCGCCAGGTCTTTTGATATTTCTGCCTTCGCTCGTTGACAAAGTTAGACATGATCCACAAAACGAGCGACATCACCCTTCATTCCAGGCCACCAAAACGATTTCCGGAGGTCTTGATAACATCTTGTTCATGCCAGGGGTGTATACTAGACGACTGTGATGGCCTTCCTCCAGAATGATCCTCTTCAAGTTCCGCCATCATTAGGAATGCACGTCCTACCCTTGTAACGCAGCATGCCGTCCGTTCCTGTGTTTGAATTCCTTATCTTTCTTTGAAACGAGCGCGTTCTAGTATCTTCACCAGATCTTTCATCCTCACGCTGCTTCATTCTGATTTGGTCGAACACATTGCTAGATATTCTAAGGTTACAGCACTTGATGCTGTCGGTTCAAACTCAACTGTAACCTTAGATCTCTGAAACTCTCCACCAAGCTCAACTCGCGCACCATCATAGACGACATATGCACCACTTTTCTGCTCAGACGTCCGCTACCACGTTCGCTTTTCCTGGATTGTAGAGCAGCTCGAAATCATAATCCTTCAAGAACCAAGCCACCTCCTCTGCCTCATATTCAACTCCTTCTGATCAAAGAGGTACTTGAGACTCTTGTGATCACTGAAACTTGACGTGGACCATACAAGAAATGCCTCAGATCTTCAGTGCAAAAACGACCGCTGCCAACTCCAGTCGTGCGTTGGATAATCCTCCGTGAATCCTCAACTGCCGAGACGCATACGCTACCGCTCGCCTCTCTTGCATCAAAACACACCCAGACCTTGATGAGAAGCGTCGCATAAACTTCAAACGGTTTAGACGTTCCGGAATAACCAGCACTGGGGCGCGTCAGCTTGATCTTCAGCTCTTGAAAACTGATTCACAACGATCAGTCCAAGCGAACGGCTGATCTTTACGGGTCAATTGGGTTAGCGGCGCTACTATCTTAGCAAAACCTTCAATGAAACGTCTGTAGTAGCCCGCCAGTCCAACAAAACTACGTACCTCCGTGACCGAACGCGGACTCTCCCAATCCATACCGCTCGCACTTTCGCTGGATCCCCGAGATGCCTCCAGCCGACACCACTGAGGACCCAAAAACTGGATCTCCTTCATCCAGTAATTCACACTTAGACAACTTGGCATATAATCTTTCTCCCGCAACACTCCAAGTACGATCTAAGGTTCTCTTCATGCTCTTCTTCAGTCTTGTGATAGATGAGGATATCATCTATGAAAACGACCACAAACTTATCCAAATAAGGCCTGAATATGCGGTTCATGTACTCCATGAACACGGCTGGAG